GCTTAAGGTAGGTCGTAAGTCGTCGTTGGAGACTGAAAATATTTTAAGTATCGACATCTGAATCCCATGTCAGTGACACACGTCAAGCCGAGTCTTTTGTATGCTTTGGAAAAGGTTCCCTACAGCTTGAATGGTGCTTTTCTCAAAATAATTTGCATTGTGCATAACAGGCACATAATTTTCAAAACAGGCCTTGCCGTCTGATCGCTCATCATATTTTAAAGTTGTTTCTTATTATGTTAAGGTCTAACTTTGTTCATTATGCTAAGTAAACCTTTGGGGCTCATTGCTCTGTTATTAGAAAGAGATGCGGAAACCAGCCATGAAAATTCCTCCAGAATTACAGCGAACGAAGCTTGAGGATCAACACTCTCTAAAAATTACTCATTTTTTGGAACATGCATTTAATTATATTTCATAACCAGTATATTGTTTTTAAGATATTTTTCAGCAGGCATTCTGTCAAGATGTTGTGATCCGAGATGTTTGATATGAACAACCATTGGTAATCGTGTTATTTTTTACGTATGGGTTTGTTTTTCACTGCTTTATAGGTCTCGAATGCATAAGAAAAGTCTGATTCAAGCATGTAGATATGTGAGTGGAAAATTCTGCGCGAAAAGAAATTGGTTTCCAAAGGAACGAAGACGCACCTTTGTTTAATTTTTATTTGTGGCTGCCTGGGACTCGTCCTGCGTGGCAGAACTTTAAATTTAGATATCGCTTATGGTGTGGTTCTGTTTCAGAACCTGGCGAAAATTTACGATATTGCGTGGAAGACTTTATCCTTTTTTTTCTAATTTTTGTTCTGGTGAACACCACGGGGAGTATTTCAGGTTTGACAATGGCTTTTAAAGTCTTACGAATTTTGCTGACTTCTGTCGTTCTCATAACTGCAGTTGTAAATGTTTGGTTTGTTGCTGAAAACTGGAGCATGGAAAACACACCCCCGTGGGAATTAGAAGTTGAAGACAGAGGAAATAGAAAGATGAATGAAACTGATTCAGACACAAGTTTTGTAGAAGGTGCGTAGACATTGTTGTATAGCTAGCAATTAAAGCAAACGTCTTTTCAAGCTTCGGGAACTAGATGCATATGGAACAGATCGACATTCTGATCTGTAAACGAAAGAAACAAATCGTTTGTGATGTTTCTAAAACGAATCCTATGTTTGATTGAAATATTGATATGTAACACATATCACTGAAGTGTATAAAATTAAAGAGTCGCAGTGTATCGTTACTAATTTGACCTTCTGATACCTATGTACTCTATTTAAGAAATTTTGAAGACCAATATCGAAGACGAGCAATATTTCTTCCGCGTTCGACAGCAATGGTTAAAAATTCATTTCAAATACACTAAGTATCGTAAAGTAGGTTGTGGTTTTTCATCAAGGTAAATAACACTTTCAAAAGGGGAGGGATCATCGTTTTTCCCACGATGTGGTCACTTCGAAAGTGAATTGCGACGTCTCGATTGCAAACTGGTAGTCTTTTACGGGCGGTACGGTCGATTAAGTAGCGTATTCAATCGCGTACTTAGTCGACCACATCGCCTGACAAAGACCGGCAGTATGGCAGTATCAACATCGTGATAAAAACGATTGTACTTCAGGCAAACACTGATATGAGCGAGAAAATCTTGTGGAAGGAGTGGAAACAATTCGAGTTTTCAAAGCTTCATTTTTTCTAGAAAATAAAAATGATTTCAGTTTCTAGAAACAGTCAAGTCCAAGACGAGAAAAAAGTGGCATCCTTCGATGTAAACAAATGTTTAAATAATTACAAAGTATAGTGTCCAAAAAATTTGTTTGTAAGACAAAGTTTAATAATTTTTTGATGAGCTCTTTAACACAATCCGATCGGCGCCCTCAAATTTAGACAAGACGAACTTGAGATCATATTACCTTTTGCGATCATAGAGGGTTCAGTTTTATTTACTATTACATTAATGAAAAAAAAACAAGTGTGCTGTAAACCATTTCTTTTAATTGAGAAATGGGATAGGTTTAGTACGTGATGTATTTCGTATATGATAAATGCATAGAATCTGTGCATTCGACTTTTACTGCACCTTGTTTTCGTCAGGGGAATTTGTAAAAAGCATTTCAGATATAATAAAAGAAAAAATGGATTGAATATTCACAATAATATAAGTGAAAAAAAATTGTGCCGAAACCTTAGGAACCAAATGCGGGTGGTAAACTATGTCAGGCTTGTCAAATGAGTTGTTAATGTGAATGGACCACCGTAAAGTGGTTCTAAAGCTGATGTTTCGAGAATTTGATATTTTCTCAACTGACGTTTCTTACCGTTCAAGATTTAAGATGCGAAATAGCAAAAATTTTTCTCCTAGTTGTTAGAAAGGTCTGAAGCGTATCGAGAATCAATTTAGGCGAAAATGATGGATTTTAGGGTCGCAGAAATAAACAAACCTCATAATTAATGGTGTAAAAATTAATGCTGACAAGAATTACAGCGACTAAGATCACGGCGAATTCTCCCAATGTGAGATAATATTAGTAAGGATTAGCGAGACAAATTGAGTACCATTTCTACCACGAATGGACAAATTTTCCTCAACTGATATTTCTATTTTTCCAATGGAGTGATAGAATCAACAGAAACTAACAAAATATCGCCTTTTCGCAGCAGTTACAAAATTTAAAATTTTTTTCTCTGAAATGCGGCTTAGAAACAGAAAACAACGTTTTAAGTTAAGACCAACTTCATTACCAGGTTCTGTCTTTTTGTTTTTGTTTTTTTTTTTTTTCACTTAAGAGGAGAGGTCCTAGGAACGAATCTTGGCGCACGCGCAGCTTCTAGTCTCCAACAATTCCCCATGGTGTTTACCAGAACAAAAATTAGAAAAAAGGATAAAACGTCAGGCATGATGTATTCGCTCAGACAGTAATGGCTAAATCAATGAAATGTCCAGATGTGGTACACTTTTAAATCAAGCTTATTTATATCAGCTAACTCTTTTTTTTTTTTTTTTTTTTTTTTTTTTTTTTTTTTTTAAACAGATGGTATGGACATTCAAGTTCGTTCTGGCAAAGAGGAGGTGTCGGTTGTTGTTGATGGAAAAGTGGTAAATGTTCATCGCTATAACTTCATTTAGTTTTTGGTTTTATATTATATGCTGAATTAGACATACATTTTGATTGGTGCGTAGGATCTGTCGGAGGACAGACGCATAGACAAAGTTTTCTTCTCTTAGGTTAAAGAAAAAAAAAATTGAAAACCAAGAGATTCATTATTGTGGTGCGTTTGTTTAGGAGTAGATCTCAGAAGACTTCAAAATGTGATAGGAAAGTTAGTTACACACTCGGCTGGTCTTCCTGTGGCACTTTTTTGTTCGTATCTCATTTTGACGTCATCAGTGATCTATTACTGAACAGACGCAAGGCAGCCAGAAATACATTTCTTTAATTCTGCTCTGTGGTTGACTTTAAAGCTCACACCATTTTTACTTTGTACTCTTAAGGTATCAGAAATCAAGGATAAAAATGTCCGAGGAATGATAGTGTTCGTTTTAAGCCAAACAACGGGCTCCCTTATGGCTGTTAGAGCGTTTGACACGTATTCATCCAAAGACGAAGGACAAGAACTAATAAAATTTTTCGGTCTGCTGCAGGAAGGAAGGATTGTTTGCGT